ATTATATTTATATAATACTACAATTATATTTATAAAATTATATCTATAATACTATTTTATATAATAATATATATAATAAAATATATATATAATATAATTATTATTATAATGTGAACCACAAGCAAGATAAAGAATTATTTAAATTCTCCATCTCTCTTCTGTCTTTTGCCTGGTTGGAATTTCTGGTTTTCCGTGTGAATTCGGAATCTCTGATTTTCGGTGTAAATTCGGAATCTCTGGTTTTCGGTGTGAATTTGTAATTTCTGGTTTTCGGTGTGAATTCGGAATCTCTGGTTTTCGGTGTGAATTCAGAATCTCTGATTTTCGGTGTGAATTCGGAATCTCTGGTTTTCCCTGTGAATTCACAATTTCTGGTTTTCCCTGTGAATTCGGAATCTCTGGTTTTCGGTGTGAATTCGGAATCTCTGATTTTCCATGTGAATTCAGAATTTCTGGTTTTCCCTGTGAATTCACAATCTCTGGTTTTCCGTGTGAATTCACAATCTCTGGTTTTCGGTGTGAATTCACAATCTCTGGTTTCCCCTGTGAATTCACAATCTCTGTTTTCGGTGTGAATTCACAATCTTTGGTTTTCCCTGTGAATTCACAATCTCTGATTTTCCATGTGAATTCAGAATTTCTGGTTTCCCCTGTGAATTCACAATCTCTGTTTTCCGTGTGAATTCACAATCTCTGGTTTCCCCTGTGAATTCACAATCTTTGGTTTTCCCTGTGAATTCACAATCTCTGGTTTCCCCTGTGAATTCATAATCTCTGGTTTCCCCTGTGAATTCACAATCTCTGGTTTTTGGTGTGAATTCACAATCTCTGGTTTCCCCTGTGAATTCACAATCTTTGGTTTTCCCTGTGAATTCACAATCTCTGGTTTCCCCTGTGAATTCACAATNTGAATTCACAATCTCTGGTTTCCCCTGTGAATTCACAATCTTTGGTTTTCCCTGTGAATTCACAATCTCTGGTTTCCCCTGTGAATTCACAATCTCTGTTTTCGGTGTGAATTCACAATCTCTGGTTTCCCCTGTGAATTCACAATCTCTGGTTTCCCCTGTGAATTCACAATCTCTGGTTTTCCGTGTGAATTTACAATCTCTGGTTTCCCCTGGCTTTGAGCTCGCCTCTCGCTGCTCCCAGGTCACGCCACCATCGTCTCGCTCCTGCTCAATTATTCGCCCGCGCTGCAGCTGGAGCGGCGCGACCCGCGCGGCCTCACGGCGCTCATGAAAGCGGCGCTGCAGGGGCGGAGGGACTGCGTGACCGCGCTGCTGCTGGCGGGTACCGGGCACGGGAACGGGCACGGAATGGGAATGGGAATGGGAACGGGAACGGGCACGGGAATGGGCATGGGAACGGGAATGGGAACGGGAACGGACATGGGAATGGGAATGGGAATGGGCATGGGAACGGGAACGGACATGGGCACGGGGCGGAGGGACTGCGTGACCGCGCTGCTGCTGGCGGGTACCGGGCACGGGCATGGGAACGGGAACGGGAATGGGAACGGGAACGGGAATGGGCACGGGAACGGGCATGGGAACGGGAACGGGCATGGGAACGGGAACGGGAACGGGCACGGGAATGGGCACGGGAATGGGCATGGGAACGGGAATGGGAACGGGAACGGGCATGGGAACGGGAACGGGAATGGGCATGGGAACGGGAATGGGCATGGGAACGGGAACGGACATGGGCACGGGGCGGAGGGACTGCGTGACTGCGCTGCTGCTGGCGGGTACCGGGCACGGGCATGGGAACGGGAACGGGAATGGGAACGGGAACGGGCACGGGAATGGGCATGGGAACGGGAACGGACATGGGCACGAGGCGGAGGGACTGCGTGACCGCGCTGCTGCTGGCGGGTACCAGGAACGGGAATGGGCACGGGAATGAGCACGGGAATGGGCACAGGGCAGAGGGACTGCGTGACCGCGCTGCTGCTGGCGGGTACCGGGCACGGGCATGGGAACGGGAACGGGAATGGGAATGGGAACGGGAACGGGCATGGGAACGGGAACGGACATGGGCACGAGGCGGAGGGACTGCGTGACCGCGCTGCTGCTGGTGGGTACCGGGCACGGGAACGGGCATGGGAACGGGAACGGGAATGGGAACGGGAATGGGAACGGGCACGGGAATGGGAATGGGAATGGGAATGGGAATGGGCATGGGAACGGGAACGGACATGGGCACGGGGCGGAGGGACTGAGTGACCGCGCTGCTGCTGGCGGGTACCGGGCACGGGAACGGGCATGGGAACGGGAACGGGAATGGGAACGGGCACAGGAATGGGCACGGGAACGGGCATGGGAACGGGAACGGGAATGGGCATGGGAACGGGAACGGACATGGGCACGGGGCGGAGGGACTGCGTGACCGCGCTGCTGCTGGCGGGTACCAGGAACGGGCACGGGAATGGGCATGGGAGTGGGCACGGAAACGGGCATGGAATGGGCATGGGAGTGGGCACGGGGCGGAGGGACTGCGTGACTGCACTGCTGCTGGCGGGTACCGGGAACGGGAATGGGCACGGGAATGAGCACGGGAATGGGCACAGGGCAGAGGGACTGCGTGACCGCGCTGCTGCTGGCGGGTACCGGGAACGGGAATGGGCACGGGAACGGGAACGGGCACCAGGAATGGGCACAGGAACGGGCACAGGGCACGGGAACGGGCACGGGAATGGGCACAGGGCATGGGAGCAGGTACTGGCCACGGGAATGGGCACCGGGCATGGGAATGGGCACCAGGAACGGGCACGGGAACGGGCACAGGGCATGGGAGCGGGTATCAGGCACGGGAACGGGCATGGGAGCAGGGAACAGGGTGCTGGGCACGGGAGCGGGGAGGCTAACACGGCGGGCACGGGAGGCTGGCACAGCAGGCACGGGGTGGCAAAGGGCGGCACTGCCGGTCCGGGTCACACTGCTGCTCAGGGTGGCACTGGTGGCACTGCTGGACAGGGTGACACTGCTGGACAGGGTGGCACTGCTGGCACAGGGTGACACTGGTGGCATTGCTGGACAGGGTGGCACTGGTGGCACAGGGTGACACTGCTGGACAGTGTGGCACTGGTGGCACTGCTGGACAGGGTGGCACTGATGGCACAGGGTGGCACCGGTGGCACTGCTGCTCATGGTGACACTGCTGGACAGGGTGGCACTGCTGGACAGGGTGGCACTGCTGGACAGGGTGGCACTGGTGGCATTGCTGCTCAGGGTGACACTGCTGGCACTGCTGGACAGGGTGACACTGCTGCTCAGGGTGACACTGCTGGCACTGCTGGACAGGGTGACACTGCTGCTCAGGGTGACACTGGTGGCACTGCTGCTCAGGGTGACACTGCTGGCACAGGGTGGCACTGGTGGCATTGCTGGACAGGGTGGCACTGGTGACACTGCTGCCCACTGCTGTTTTTCAGACAGATATAAGTTTGGTTCATTTGTATATCAGGGATTAATCCTCCAATTACCTTTAGCTAATTAAATCATATCCCCCAATTTGTACCCCCTCAATTCACTTCTTTTATACTTTTCAGGGCCTGAGGCTGTTGGGTGTCCTTGAGTTTCAGGCCTGGAGGAATTGCTTTGTCTGACCAAAAAAAATTCACTTTTTTTATACTTTTCAGGGCCTGAGGCTATTGGATATCCTTGAATTTCAGGCCTAGATGAATTGGATTGTGTGACCAAAAAAAAAATCACTTTTTTTATACTTTTCAGGGCCTGAGGCTGTTGGATATCCTTGAATTTCAGGCCTAGCTGAATTCCTTTATCTGACCAAAACACAAAGACACTATGCGCGTGGAGTTTAGAGTTCCGCCCCGATACACCAGAGGATTTAAAATCCCATCAAATCCCAATCCCGGTGGCCTCACGGCGCTCTGTGTGTCCCCAGGAGCCGACCTGCAGGCCGTGGACGCCGTCAAGGGCAAGACGGCCAAGGAGTGGGCGACCTTCACCGGCCGCTTCGAGACGTCCGCGCGCATCCGGAGCCTCCTGCGGCGCCCGCGCGCCGAGCAGTTCACGGCCCGCTACCGGCCCGAGTGGCCGGCGCTGGCCCAGCTGGTGGCCAAAGCCCTGAGCCCCAAATCCAGGAGCGAGAGGCTGTCGGAGAAGATCCGATCCTTTTTCACCCTCAGCATCCCCCGCGACCCCGAGGAGGACGGCGTGCTGGACCACATGGTGAGGATGACCACGGCCCTCGGCAGCCCTTTCGTGGCCACCGCTTGCCAAACCGTGTGCCCCGACAGCCCGCCCGAGGTGGGCAAGAGGAGGTTGTCGGTGCCCGAGATCCTCGGGCAGCACGCGTCGGAGACGGAGGAGGAACCGGAGGAGGAACCGGAGTCATCCTCACAGCCGGGCTCAGGGGGATCCTGCTGCTCGAGGAGATCCTCCTGCTCGGGGGGAAGCTCAGGGAGATCCTCCTGCTCGAGGGGATCCTCCTGCCCAGGGGGATCCTCCTGCTCACGGGGTTCTTCCTGCCCGGGGGGATGCTCGGGGGGATGCTCCTGCTCGAGGGGATCCTCCTGCTCCCTGGAATCCTCCTGCTCACGGGGTTCCTCCTCCTCGGGGGGTTCCTCCTGCCCGGGGGGATCCGAGCTCCGGCCGCCCGGCCGCCTGCTGAGCCTCCTGCCGCTGTGGCTGCGGCGGGGGAACAGCGTCTGGCCCGGGGAGCCCGTCCCCAAAATCAAAGTGAGCAAAGCCTCGGGCTCGTCCGCCGGAGAGAGGAAGCCCCGGGTGAAGGACAAGCACCTCCTGCAGCCGCCCCAGTGGAGGTACAAGGTGCTGAAGGAGGAGAAGAAAGCGGCCGAGGAGGCCAAGAAGGGCGAGAAGAAGAAGAAAAAGAAAAAGAAAGGTTAAGGCTGGAGGTGTCGTGCTGGCGACAAGGTTCTTGCTGTCCCCTCGGATCTGCTGACTTTCTGGCGCAGGGGTGGGTTTGTTCCCGGCGGATGGGAATGAAATATCCCCGAGGGTTCCAGGCCCCTGCCTGGCTCTCGTCCTCTCCACCCCAAGGGTGGCCACCCTCTCATGGGACATGTCGTGCTGGGCACCGATGTCCTGAGACCCTGGAGCCATCTCCAGGAATTCCAGCGAGCAGGACTGTGCCACAAGTCCTTCCTGTTTTCCCTTTTATTTTTTTTTTTAATTATTTTTTCTCCTTTTTTTTTTTTTTTTTTTTTTTTTTTGTTTTTTTGATTTTCCTTGCGCTCTCAATCCCGTGGCGTGCGTCAGAAGGTGGCCGAGCAAATTAAAATGGAAGCGGTTGCCACGTTAGCAGCATTGGTGCCGTGAATGCATGACCCTAAAAGAACACTGAACCTTAACTCAAAATCTAACCCTAACCCAAATATTACCCCTAAACCAATATTAAACTAACCCCAACCCTAACCCTGACCCCAATATTAACACTAACCCCAATATTAACCCTAACCCTGACCCTAACCCT